TTCCAACGATACTTGCAAGCACGTCAGTACTTTGCCTCAAACTAGAATTATATACCTCTGAACACTCGAATTACTGTGGCATACTACTTCAATTTACAAATCGGCGTCAGCTTGAATTGAATCAGAACCTAAGACTGCTACCTACGATTTGATTAGTAACAAGAAGCTACTAGGGGCTCCTGGCCATACTACTAGGAGCAAGGACGCTACTAGGGGCTACTGGCATTGCTACTAGTAACAAGAAGCTACTAGGGGCTCACATCCTGAGGCCATCACAGATGGCATCCGACCTTGCCAGGTGGTGACCCTACATGCTGAGGTGAAGCGTTCCCGAAGCTCTGAGGCCGGCGTGAAGAAACACCGTCGAGTCATGTCGAGTTATAAAATAACTAGTAGCTTCTTCTTACTAGTAGCGATGCCAGGAGCTACTAGTAGCGATGCCAGGAGCTACTAGTAGCGTCCTTGCTCCTAGTAGCGATGCCCTTTGTTACTAGTAGCTTCTTCTTACTAGTAGCGATGCCAGGAGCTACTGGTTACTAGTATAGCGTCCTTGCTCCTAGTAGCGATGCCCTTTGTTACTAGTAGCTTCTTCTTACTAGTAGAGATGCCAGGAGCTACTAGTAGCGTCCTTGCTCCTAGTAGCGATGCCCTTTGTTACTAGTAGCTTTTTCTTACTAGTAGAGATGCCAGGAGCTACTAGTAGCGTCCTTGCTCCTAGTAGCGATGCCCTTTGTTACTAGTAGCTTCTTCTTACTAGTAGCGATGCCAGGAGCTACTAGTAGCGATGCCAGGAGCTACTAGTAGCGTCCTTGCTCCTGATGCCCTTTGTTACTAGTAGCTTCTTCTTACTAGTAGAGATGCCAGGAGCTACTAGTAGCGTCCTTGCTCCTAGTAGCGATGCCCTTAGTTACTAGTAGCTTCTCTTACTCGTAGAGATGCCAGGAGCTACTAGTAGCGTCCTTGCTCCTAGTAGCGATGCCCTTTGTTACTAGTAGCTTCTTCTTACTAGTAGCGATGCCAGGAGCTACTAGTAGCGATGCCCTTTGTTACTAGTAGCTTCTTCTTACTAGTAGCGATGCCAGGAGCTACTAGTAGCGTCTTTGCTCCTAGTAGCGATGCCCTTTGTTACTAGTAGCTTCTTCTTACTAGTAGCGATGCAAGGAGCTACTAGTAGCGATGCCCTTTCTTACTAAAAGCTTCTTCTTACTAGTAGCGATGCCAGGAGATACTAGTAGCGATGCCCTTTGTTACTAGTAGCTTCTTCTTACTAGTAGCGATGTGAGGAGCTACAAGTAGCGTCCTTGCTCCTAGTAGCGATGCCCTCTGTTACTAGTAGCTTCTTCTTACTAGTAGCGATGCCAGGAGCTACTAGTAGCGTCCTTGCTCCTAGTAGCGATGCCCTTTGTTACTAGTAGCTTCTTCTACCTAGTAGCGATGCCAGGAGCTACTAGTAGCGTCCTTGCTCCTAGTAGCGATGCCCTTTGTTACTAGTAGCTTCTTCTTACTAGTAGCGATGCCAGGAGCTACTAGTAGCGATGCCCTTTGTTACTAGTAGCTTCTTCATACTAGTAGCGATGCCAGGAGCTACTAGTAGCGTCCTTGCTCCTAGTAGCGATGCCCTTTGTTACTAGTAGCTTGTTCTTACTAGTAGCGATGCCAGGAGCTACTGGTTACTAGTATAGCGTCCTTGCTCCTAGTAGTGATGCCCTTTGTTACTAGTAGCTTCTTCTTACTAGTAGCGATGCCAGGAGCTACGAGTAGCGTCCTTGCTCCTAGTAGCGATGCCCTTTGTTACTAGTAGCTTCTTCTTACTAGTAGCTCCTGGCATCGCTACTAGTAAGAAGAAGCTACTAGTA